AAGGGCCATTTTTACCATGATGCATTCTCCAAATAGCTATAAAATGACATTTTTTACAAAATGATCAACTGAAGACAAAGTGGGGAGCGCTTAAACATTCCTGATCAGTTTTGTTTCTTCATCTCGTTGTTTTCTTTATTGGGCTTCCTCCCTGCTCTCCTTCTGTCCACCCACTCACCTCTAAATCTGCTGATCAATATTTCCCACGCTGACTCTCCAGCATTGGGATTTAGGGCCAGCCCTGCCTTCGTTGTTGCTCTTTCTTCAAGCGTTTTTCTTTCTGTGAAGTGAAGTTTCGGTGTCAATCTTGAGGTCGTGTAAATCTCTGGTTAGAGGAGTGTTAGATGCTATTAGACAAACAGCACCTTATGTCTTTATTTGGTCCCTGTCCTGTTTGATTTATTTGATGATGAGGCCTGGGAGGGAAATCAGTTTTTAAATCACCAGGCCTGTTGGATGACAGAATCATTTAGTGGGTAATTACAGCTTAATACCAGGACTCAAGTCTCTAATTTGTGTTGGGCAGCACTCTTTAAAATCCAGCCTGATGGTAGATATCTATTAATATGCTTGTAATGCTCATCCAGGAAGGATTATTTTCAAGTATATGAAAGTTTATTACAGCTGGTGCCTTCATGTAAATTTGTGATAAAATTGTGAATTGCTGAAAACCAGACAATGCAGCATCGCTGATATAAGGTGTCAAAAAATGGTGATCAAACAGTCCCACACTTCTTAAACAAACCCTACCAGATGTATTTCAGAGAGAAAACTCTAACATACTGTAAAATGGTTACTCAAATTTTCCATTTTAAACATGGATCGCATTCCAAGACACTTGAAGTTACACCAATTGCCTTCTATATTAATGATATCGTGTCTATTGTGCCAAAATGAAAACAGTGACAATGCTATACTGTCTTTAAACTTTGGTGATTCCAGTGTGTCCTGAATCCTACGTCCTAGCAGAAAGAGCCACATCCAGGTCTCCTCAAACACATCACAAAAGTGAATAAATGAGTTTTTAATCTTATGGAAAAATCTGACTACTCATTTAGACTAATTAGGAGATAAGAATGTGGCTTTTTACTATTAATAATTTATAAACTACAAGAGTATTCTGTCTAAGGCCCAAAATCAAAATCAGTGCTATGTCCATGTACGCTGCTTCTTGTGCAAAAATGCACATTGTGTTCTGCATGACTGACTATAATTAGTTAAATGATTAATAAATTCACACAAAAAACTAATTTTGAAGCATGATGTAAATTAGCTTATTAGCCCAATCCCCAGGACTTTCATGTGCCGAACGATTCCTGGGCAAGACACTGATCCTCAAGTTGCTCCTGAGTGTGAAAAGGTGAACAGGATACACATTGTAAAGTGTTTAGTAGAACCAGACTAAGGTTAAAAGGTGCTATAAAGTGCAGACCATTTACTATTTGCTTGTCAATGTCCCGGATGATACCTGAATGGATGTTAGGATCTCATTGGACGAGCCCCCGTTTGTTGCAACCTGGCTCAAGACGGCCGCCCCAACGGAAAGACACACCAAGTTTACAAAATTTAAAGCTTGTCTTTCTTCACTTAAATTCTACCAAATTAAAAGCCAAAACAGTATGGGATTGTGAGATTACATAGTCAGTGGTGTGTGTGTGATGAATGCATGAATTATGTCTGTGCAAGGGTTGTAAATGCAAACTAACCCATAACCAGACCAGTGTGTTACCTGCGGAGGGAAGCAGAGCGTGATTAGACTGCAGTCAGCCCTTAAGTAACCCAGGAACAGACTGGGTGTCATAGGTGCTACTGGTTACATCAAACAGACACTCACAGAACCAACAGACAAACTAGAACCACCCACAAGATACAAGATGACCTCAGGGGTCATCACATGGAGTAAATGTACCTCGTTATTACTCAAGTGTATTATTTATACTGTCTTGGGGAGCTTGAGTCCTCTCCTTAAGTACTGTTATTGTCCTCCTGTAACTGGGTGCTGCTGACCTGACACAAACAGCTTGGTCATAGTCTCCCATCAGTTGAAAGCAAAGGTTTAGTTTTTACAGACCGGTCAGGCTCTGTGTGACGTACTCTTGTGTGTGACGGATTGTGAAGGCTGCATAGGATACTCTTTTTAGCTTCTGTCTTTCACAGGATTTTTAGGACAAAACTGGATCTGTTACATTGTATTCATTTAAAAAAAAAATGGACATCAGAGGATCGAGCTCCTAAACTGGGGCACGACTCGAGTCAGCAGCTCTGACCGTGTTCAGCCTTCGTTAAGTCACCATCACCTGAGGTCAGATGATGCACATGTTTCATTTTGGTGACTCAACGGCAGGGAGCTGTTTTCTTTTGGCCTGTTTACAGTGCACGGTATTTTGGTTTAGCAGGCCAACAACATCATCCACATCCATGTGTGGCATCAGCTGCATACTAGAGTAGAATCAGTGTTTATTAAAAGCAATGTTTGCCAAATCAGATGATGCTGGACTGTGAAGATAATGCATGAGAGATGAGAAGAAACAAGAAAGACTGAGGATGACAAGACTGGCTGGTAAATGTCTGCTTAATTGGCATGTTAGACCTAAAAACCTGCAGCCAATTTAAATGTGTGATATCTGAGAGGAAATGTGACAACATCAAATGCAGATGCTGAGATTGGAAGCAAAACACAGGCAATAGTAATAGTAGAATGCCCTGGTGGCTGTGAAGATGGAGTGGGAGGAAGGAGAGAAGATGTTGAAAGCATCGAGATATATGCAGTGAAGACACACAGAGCACTGCATACCGGCTGATACAAATCATGTATTACACCATGAGTAAGATCGGAGTGTGGCAGAGGAAGCTGAGTATTTAGGAGCAGAATGCAGAGAGGCAGATGCGAGTTTTGTCAGAAGAAAAGAAAAGCAGCTCAGAGACCTGTAGCACCTCCCAGAGGACAGCAGCTGAAAGAAGTAGTCAGCAGGGTGGGATGGGTCGAATATGATACCTGGCCTTCTGAGAACATGTTTGTTGTGCAAGGATTCAATTGATTAGGTTAACAATGTGCTGCAGTTCATGTGCCATACAAGACTGACTCATGGAGCAAATTGGCTCACCAGGCATATGCCCACAGGCCAAAAAGATCAGAGGGCCCATGAGCCAACGACTCTATTTGAAGTGACTGGTGAACAAGAAAGCGTTTTTTTTCTGTAAAATCAAAGCTCTTAGTCACCAACAGGGATTCCTGTGGCTCCACATCCTTTAGCACTGACTAAGGTACCCCTACTGCATATGTTTATTTCTGTTATATTTATTTTCCATATCATATAGTTACACAGTGCATACTTGGGCTGCATTACAGTTCACACTGAAATTTTGATTTAAGAAAATCTAACCCACGTTTTTCAGTAACATTTAGTATCACGGCCTGCAATATATTGTGGAACATAGTTATCAGTTTGGCAGGAAGTATTGGAAAGAAGTTAGACAGTATCTTCTTGGCTTCAGCATGAACTACATTCAGAGGTTCTGGTACAGCATTAAACTAAAGGCGAGGGGTTCTTTTATGCATCTGCACTTAGGGCCCAGTCTCTGTCTCCCTTTATGGACTGAGTGTAGTTTTGGTGTGTTGACTGCGTTGCTTATATATCTGTAGAGAAATATCCACATCCCACAGGTGCACTACTGGATTGTGGTTGGGTGCTTGTGGAGGCCATCTGACTACAGTGAACCCATTGTCATGGTCAAGAAACCGGTTAGAGTTGACATGCCATATTATTCTGCTAGAAGTAGCCACTAGAGGATGATTACACTGAGGTCATAAAGGGATGCACCATCACCAGCAGCACTCAGGGCGGCTGTGATGTTTAAATGGGGCTCAGATGGTACTAAAGGACCCTAAGTGTGCCCCCACACCATTACACCACCATCCTGGATTGTAAATGCAAGGCAGGATGGAGCCACTGATGTTATTTACATCAAATTTGGAACCTATTATATGAACAAGACTCAGCAATGTTTAGTTTTTTTTTCCAGTTTCTGTGAGCTTGTGTTCACTGAAGGCACAGTTTCCTTTTTTCAGCTGACAGGGAGTGGCACCTGGTGTTGTCTTCTGCTGCTGTAGCCCATCTGCCTTAGGGTTGAATGTGTTTTGTGTTCAGAAATGCTCTTCTGCGTACCTTGGTCACTCTAGTCATAGCTGCCTTTCTGTATGCTAGGACTAGTGGTGGCATTCTTCTGTGACTGTCATGAACTCACAAACAGAATCGGTGGACACAAATGCTTGACTCAGAGTAGGTTCAGGCAAAAGACAGGTTTAATGACAGTCAGGGTTCGGTACACAGGAATTCAGTCCAACAGGCAGAAGTATCCAAGAATCGGCGGGCAGAGGCAAGGTCCAAAAAGCAGAAACAAGGTCGAGATCAAACAGGCAAAAGTATCCAAAATTGTCAAACTCAAACAGACTGTGACTTAACTTGATTAAAGCTGGTACGAGGACTGTAAGATGCAACGAACTGGCGACGAGACAGTGAGACACACAGGGTAATATACACGAGGTAATGAGGGTAGATGGGAAACAGGTGTGGGGAGGTAATCAGGGAGCAGGTGAGACAAGACAGGTACAGGAAGTAAAACTAGAACAGAACGCCCAGTGAAGTGATTTCAAAATAAAAGAGGAAAGACGAGACATAATGTGCAGACATGAACAGAAACTTGACAGACATGACAGTGACGTCTGCCTTCAACACGGCATTTTCTCCCTGAGAGCCACCACTTGGTTTCATGCATACGCTCTGCCTCATGTTTGGCTGATTAGATATTTGCCTTAACAAGCAGTTGAACCAGGTTACCTTATGGAGTGTATAAGGTATTGAGCTGGAGGTTGTTGTTTGTGGACCAAGTAACTGCTTGGCCTACCTGCTTCCATTAACTGGTCTTGAACCTGCTATATTTCTCTATTATGAAGACAACTGGTCTTAAAATCACCTTCCTTTTCTGTTCTTTCTTTCCAGGAAAATCCGACAAGATGGAGAAAACAGAGAAGAAGGATGAGAAACAGGAGGACAGTGTGAAGAAGGTGGACTTGTTTGACCCTCTGGATAAACCTGAGCAGAAGAGTGTGAAGGTTGAATACATAAGCAGTGAGATTCCAGTCAAGCTGGAGAAAGAGGCAGAAAAGGAGAAAGAGAAGGATAAGATGCCAGACAATGCAAAAGAGCAGAAAGAGGCAGAGAAAATAAAGGAGCCAGAGAAACAGACAGAAAAGGTGGACGAACAGAAGAAGGAAGCAGAAAAGATGAAAGAGAAGGAGACAGAGAAAGTGGAGTCAGTGCAGCAGAAGGAAGACAAAGAGGATAAAATGCACAAGGCAGAAGAATCACTAGACAAATTGGATAAGACAAATAAAATGGACAAGACAGATAAAGTAGAAAAAATGGAGCTGACAGACAAAGTGGAGAAAGCAGAGAATGTGGAAAAGATGGACAAAACTGAAACATCCAAATTAGAAGACAAAGTGGAGAACAAAGCCACTGAGAAAATCGACAAAACGGAGATGAAGGATGGCAAAGAGCAGCACATCGACAAAGTTGAAAAGACCCCAGAGCCACAACCGACACCTATCACGCTTGATGCCGGTTTTGACAAGCTGGAGAAGAAGGATGACACAGAGACAAAGGCGACAGCTGAGGTGCAGGACGCCAAGAAGGAACAGGCTGACACAGACAAAGCCAAGAAGATGGAGAAAGAGGAAGAGGTGGGGAAAGCATCTGAGAAGCCTGTGGAAAAACCAGCACAGAAGAGCGAAAAGGACGAGAAGCAGGATAAAGTGCAGGCGGAAAAAAAGACTGTCGAGAAGAAAGATGACAAGAAGGACAAGGCTGCAAAAGCCGATGGAGGAGAGAAGGCCAAGAAACCTGCAAAGCCTGCAACCAATGGAAGCAGCGCAGCACCGAGCAAAGACATGGCAAGTGGAGACAAGAAAACCAAGGTAGGACTGATAGGAAGGTGTAAGGCTGAGCTGTTACTAACCTACGGTTCTGATCCATATTAGACATACTATCAACAAACATGGCTCAAAGGCTGGTTGTTGGTATCACATGAGACTTTAACCACTGAGGTCACGGATGTATAATGTAAAGTATTACATCCCAAACTTAAGCTGACTTAAAAATCAAGGTAAGTTAAAGGTTTGAATTTTCTTGGAGGGCATGTGAGTGTTTTAGTGTCTCATTTCAAGATGGTACACAGACCAGAGTGAGCTTCATTAGATTATCTACATTTACAAAACACCTCTAACACAGCGCTTCCTCCAGTGTGCTCAACTTTTTTTTTAGGTTATTTTTGCCTTTTCAAGGGAATGTCTGCATTCGACTTGGAAAATGTCATTATTGAATACTATAACTTTCCTAATTAGGCACCTTTGACATACAGTCTCTGGGCTGACTGCAGCCTAAGTCAGCTTAAACAACTGCTGAACTTAACAGACAGCCCTGTGTTTGGGAGTTACCCAGTCACTCACGACTGGTTTTATTAAAAGTGTATTAACAATGCTTGACAAACACAGAAGGTCATTTAATAACACTTACTAGTGTTTCAGGACAGATTCAGAATCTTCTTCAAGTAATCCTCTTATCCCCTGGATGTATCTTATCTTCCTCATAAAATATACAGTAAAACAAAAGCCAAGTTTTCATCATGCATGCAAGTATCAGAGCAGAAACAGTTCATGGAAATACTCCTTTGATGAAGGCAAGGTAACTGAAACCATCTGAGGAATACAGCGTGCTGTATGGAGAATAGCATTTGGTTGATTCTGGGGGGATTCTAGTAACACAGATAGCTGTTCACCCTGCATGCTGCTAATGCTTCTGCCACTGCTTTGTTCATGCCTACAATACATGTACACTACAAAACGCCATCCCATAGCTATTTGAAGTCACGAACATCTATTAACATTGAAACAAGAAACCCTGTGCTGTCAGTTATTTTTAGTTATTACATAATTTGTGGTTCAATCGCTGCTTGTGCTGCTTAACCCTGCTGTTGTTATCATCCATTTTCCTTATTTTTATTTTCCCCTTTCGTTTGCTTTCGCTCCTTATTTCGCCCTCCATCCATCCTGTGTGTGTTGGTCTGGCGTCGCAGCCTGCTGTCGGGGCAACCAAATTGAGCACCGTTGCCAAAACGCGGCCAAGCACAGCGGCCGCCGGTGGTTCAGCCGCAGCAGCCACTAAACGCCCCGCGACCTCCTCCACCCTCACCTCAGACAAAAAACCAACCACAGCCAGGGCACCATCCACAACTGCAGCTGGGCCCAAGCGGCCCTCCACCACGTCCACCAGCCGCCTCTCATCCACCGCCACCACCGCTACACGTGACGTTAAACCCAAGGTAAGTGTCAGCTGTCAGGACATCTGTCAGAGGCTGCAGCACACCTGGATCCATGGATAATTTAACTCATTGTGATGCTTCCTTCTCAGCAGCATACTAAAACCTCTCAGGTCCAAGAGATCATTAAGTTACATCAAACTGCCGGGCCACTTTAAAGAGCACAAAGCTGATGGGTTTGAATCAAAGCAAAAATGTTTTATTGACAAAATGCTGTTGTGTACTAAAAACGCTATTTCGACATGGAGTGGTCACAAAAACCTGGTTCCCCCTTTGTTCAGGGAATTCAGCCATATGGTCTCATGAAATGGCTCACAGTGATGTATTAGGACACACTGAAGAGTCAGAGGGTACAGCTTCAGGGTTGGTCCAGGCTGGGGATGCAAAAAAACAACAGCTGTTCCCCCCAAGAAGGTAAACAGACTGAAGACAGGATGTAGCTGAGACGTTTGTTTGAATGAACAGTGGGATGTAACACTGGTCACATTTATATGAAAACGTATTTGCAGTGGTCACATGACCCTGTAGACATGCACGTGTACATGTTCACTTTAGATATTTTTTCTGGAGACTTTGTGTCTATGATGGCTTAAAAAATCTAATTAGGAATCTTGAGAACAGTTACGACAAAACTCGTCATCATTTGAACAAGGCGTCCTTAAAGTGCACAGAGAGATGTTATATTTTATATTTGCAATCCATGGCAGCTGTGCAATCTAATCTGCTTAATTAACACAAATTTAAGATTATTTTGTCAACAACAGCAAAGGATTATTAACCATTAATAAATAATAAGTGCTTCATTAGAAAATACTATCCAGAAAAGTTGCAAAGTACATTTTAGTTATTATTTCTTCAATAAATGTGTAAATACACCTCCAGAAAATACACCAACCGGCCACAACATTAAAACTACCTCCCTAATATTGTCCAGGTTCTGCTCCATCAGCCACACCAGCTCAAAGCATCATGAACCTGTGGGGGTGTCCTGCAGTGCCAAGCACCGGGACGTTGGCAACGCGTCCTTTCTGTTCTGTGGGTTGGGAGGTCTGGGTTTGTTCCAGCACGTCCTACAGATGCCTGATCTGAGTGGGTTCTGGGGAGTGTGGAGACCAGGTCACCATCTTAGGATCTTTGTGGTGATTCTTAAGCTGTTTCTGAGCAGGGAGTGTTTTCCTGCTGGAATTGGGGAGAGCCTTCGCTGTGAGATTGGAAGGCTGGTCTGCACCAGTGTTTAGGTGGCTGAGACATGTCAAAGGAGCACCACATGAATGCTAGAACCCAAGGTTTCGCAGCAGAACGATGTATTGGAATAAGAGGATGAACGTTCTCCACCTCTTCTGTCAGTGGGTTTAATGTGGCTGATCGGTGTATTCATAGACACACAGCATATGTCGTGCAGAATATACAGTTTTGTGTGCGTAAATCAGCATCGTTTTACTGTGCATTCAAGAGCACGAGTACAAAAACTGTACATTTTGCTTGGAAATTCTGCTCGTTGATTGGCCTGTGCATCTTCTTATTGCTTTATACCCACAAGCTTTCTGTCACCCTCTTTCAGTGGCCCCTTTAAATGCAGCCAGGTTGACACAATAACCAATGAATTAACGGCCTTTATTTAGCTCGTCAGCGCCCAGGGGTGCGGGGTGACTCAGTTCAGCGTGGCCAGTCTGTTTCAGGATGGCTCAGCCGTATGTGGAGCATGGCATTATGCGAGGGGTCACGGCAGGAAATGTGCTGCTGAATGAAATGTGCAGTCGTCGCTGAGGCCCTTTGACTCAATCTACATCTTACACGCAACAGGGCAACGTTTTTGACCTGAATTTCCACATGAAGTCAGTGAACATTTGCCTGAGCGGATGACAGCAGCCACACACACTGAAGTTGTGTTGTGACCCAATTTAACGCCGCTGTTTGTTTTGTTGATTTGATTTCCTGCTGCTGCTGTTTACCTTCATTCACCAGCCGTTTCTTTCTCTTCCCAGCTGAAACCGCTCTCATTCTGGCTTTTCTCCGTCTTCACAGACAACCACAGAGAAGCGTCCCCTGGTGCCAAAGGCCAGCACTGCCACCTCAAATCAAACAGGCTCCACCGCTGCCACCAAAAATGGAACTGCTACCACAGCAGTCAGTAGAACCGCTACGTCGGTGCGCACAACCACGTCTACTCGCACTGCTACCACTGCTGCCGCCAAAAAGCCTCTGGGTATGCGTTGTTTGTTTTTTCATTCTATTTATTTCTTGATGAGTAATGTTCCAGATCGCTGAGTGTTTCTCATGCATTCATTCACACAATTTCTGATGAACTGTGTTTCAGCCTCTAAGACAGACAGCAAACCAGGAGAGGAGAAGAAGCCCAGCACTCTGAGGACTTCTACAGGTACTACTATGCTACAGTCCCTTCACTTATTAGATGATGTTTTTGTCCTTGTCTTCAGGCCCTGCAGTCAGTATCAGGCTGTTCCATCAAGAATCTACTGAACTCTCTGACAACTTCCATATCCCAGCCCAAGTAAACAAATGTTTGTGATATATGCAGGGGAAATTGGAAGTTTTTTGGGGTTTTTTTATACTTTATTTTTATTTTGCGTTTTTCACACAACAAAACAACAAATACAAAGATACAACAAAACATTATAATAGAGCAGATATTTGGTCACCTGTTCAGCCACACGATACTTTACTGTTGGGATTATAAGACATTGACTCACTATATACAAAACACACCTTATGGTGACACAAACACAATCCATTTTTGCCAGTACCTCAAGTATTTGTCAGTTCTTAGATTTAGTGAGAAGGTAATTCTCTTCATACTTTGAAGATTTGCAACCAAGTTCCTCCACTCCGTCTCTGTAGGAGGGACGTACTGCAACCAATTACGTGTTACAGCTTTCTTGCTGGCAGCGAGTAAGATCTTTAACAAATATTTGTCCTGCACCAGCAAGTTGGCTTCAATATTTCCCAGATAAATTGTAGGGAAAGACCAGTCAATTACATCCCCAAACATTTTCTGAATTATACATTTTATCCTCTGCCAGTATGGTTGGATGACTGGGCAGCTCCAAAATATGTGAAAATGATTTGCCAACTGCTCTCCGCATCCCCTCCAGCATCGACCTCTACCCTTATCACCAGTCTGAATAGATTGTAACTTTGGCGTTATAAAATATCTGGTCAAATTTTGCCAACAGAATTGAAATTGGAAGTTTTTATATACATTTTGATGATTTTTTTTAAAAAAAATAGAACATACATAAATATGTAGAGATACTTCAGGTCAACTTTGCATAAAAATACAAAAAATTATTTGAAAAGCTAATAAATTGTTATCAACATAAATTGTTTATTTGAGTCTTTGATAGCTCGTGTTTTCTGCTGTTCATTTCCCTTTTTTTACATTTATTTTTTTAATATATAACATTTCTCATGTTTAGTGATCTGATAATACACTTTCCTAACAATTTAGACTAATTCGGAGGTGAACAACGGTGTACAATAGCCACTGTGGGCTTATTTTTCACTGACATAGAACTCTGGACCTCTATGGAAACAGCACAACCATGACTACTCTACTAGAAGTAGAGAGAATTTAGTCCTGTTTTTCTGTGCAGTATGACACCGTCGGAATGCCATAAATCATAAAATAAAGAAACCGAATGCCTTTGATTATGACATTTTTTGTAAGCACAGTTCATTCAAAAAGTCCCTGGATTTTTTTCACGTGAGTCACTGATGACTTAATGTTTGCAACAAGGAGCACAAAATTGTTGTGTTAAAGTTTCCACTCTGATGACCTGTTTTCACAGTGTCTATGTCGTGGTGTCATTTGGCCATTTTCTTTTAACGATAACTGGCCTTTCAAATTAGTAGGCAGGTTTTTGCGTTTAAAGCATTAATACAATCAATGGAAAATAAAGTCTGTGAGAATAGTTATAATTAACACGGTTGGACATGGGCTGCAGGGTGGCGCAGTTGGGTAGCACTGTTGCCTCGCAGCAAGAAGGTCGCTGGTTCGCGTCCCGGTGGGGCCACCGGAATCTTTCTGCGTGGAGTTTGCATGTTCTCCCCGTACAGCATAGGTTCTCTCCGGCTTCCTCTCACACAGTCCAAAAACATGTTGAGGATAATTGGTGATTCTAAATTGTCCGTAGGTGTGAATGTGAGTTTGCTTGGTTGTCTGTCTCTAAGTGTAGCCCTGTGATAGACTGGTGACCTGTCCAGGGTTTCTCCTGCCTTCGCCCTAAGTCAGCTGGGATAGACTCCAGCCCCCCCGTGACCCTAGTGAGGATAAAGCGGTGTATAGATAATGGATGGATGGAAGGTTGGACATCAAAATAACTACTAAGATTTTGAAATGTTAATTCAAAATGTATTTATTAAAATACATCATTTTAATTACAGTTTGCTCTGAAGCGTTCATTTGGAGAAAAGAAATGGGTAAAGTGGTGTTTCAGTATGATGCTGTAGTCATGATATGACACTACTGAAAGTCAAAAAACAATGAAATATTGATATATTCAGTCTCAGAGTCAAGTTCTTTTTCACTTTGTATTCACATAATCAGGGATCCAATCAGCAGTATCCACTATGTAGTACTTTGTCAGTGCTTACCCTCCGTCTCTGTACGTCTGCTCTGCATATATTCCTGTTCTCTTTCTTCTTCTCTCTCCTCCTCTGTAATCCTCTCCTCACTTATACCTCCGCTCTCTCTCTTCCTACCCAGTTACAGCTTTACTCCTGTTGACACATTAGTTTACATTTTGGCAACAGGAGAGCTGTCAGCAGGCGAGTGACACTGCAACACACACTGTCCAACCGTGACAATGCCGGCCAGGCTCAGATAGAGCCAGGCTTTATTGCTGAAAGGCTCTGGAGAGTTAAAAACCTTCACCGCAGCAGCCTGTGGATTACTGTCCCCTTACTGTTGACAGGAGTTTGCAGCTCTTGCTGATGCAGCCTCGGGTTGTCTAATCTGCCAGGGTTCGTACAGAAAGTCAAATTACTCTTTAGAAACATGGAGGCGAGGGGGGGATTTCCTCAATTAAACATGTCTTAACAGGAGCTGGAGTTACTTGAAAAGGCTCTCAGGGAGGATTGACAGCAGGACGCGTGGCGCAGCATGCCTCAGCACTGTAAGGAAAGAGCTGACATACAGAACAGCAAAATGTATGTGAATTGACAGATTGTAATTGGTGCCAATGTTGCACTGGCTCAGTGCAGCGTGGCTTAGGAAGCAAAGGATGCTAAAACTTCTTTACTTATGCACAGAGGAGATTTAAATATATGCATTCGCTGCACTCCAAATGAATAGTGTTTGAATATTTCCCCCTAAAAATGTCCTTTTCACTATTTAAAAGGATAACGATGATGTGATTCCCTCAGGTACCTACAAAAAATACCCTAAACTTGTAGATGTATTTTGTTCACTAATATTTTTCAAACACACCAAAGTAGGGCAGAACTGTCAAAGACTGGTGGAAGTTAACCATTAAAATGTGAAGAGGCCTCTTTGTGGGCTTCTCTCTGGCCTGCTCTCTCTCTGTTTTACTCCTGTGTCTTTTTTGTGTTGGTTTCTTTTCTTGCCCTTTCCTCATGTGTCTGTCTGGGATGTCAGCAACAGACAATGTCCTTTATTTGTCTTTTACTTTTTGTGCATGTGAAAGTGACTGTTTATGAAAGAATAATACAATCTATGATTAGTTTTAGTTCTAAGCAGGTCCACTTTACGATACCGTTTTATTAGCATAGCAGGGAGTTTCAAAGTATTTAGATCATTTTTAAGGATGACTTCACAATTTGTGTGTGAGCAGTATGAAACTGTCATCTGTGTAGAGTTATAGTCAAAGTTAATTGAACACCAAGTAAATGGGGGCTTTTTTTTGCATTTGCTTCCATCTTTGATATCAATGATGATATTTCCATATCAACATTGATTCATGTAATTGATGCCTGAAAATCAAACTTTAAAAGGCGGAAGAGATACCGTCATTTTTGGACTATCTGAAAATAAGCCGCACTCACTAACTTTAAAAAGGTTTTTTTTTTTTTTTTTTTTTTTACATAAATAGGCCGCACTTGTCCATAAGCCACAGGTGTCCATGTTGTAACATGAGATATTTACACAGAAAGATGTTACACAGATTTCTTTGACTTTTAATTAAATACACAAACACGTACCGTTAAATGCTTTTTTCCGAACAGTGGCTGTAACACGGCTGGTTAAGTAAATAAAAAATACAGCATCCTACCAGGAAAAGTCATTGATGCTATCTTCATCGTCCTCCTGTGCACTAAAACCAGTAAAGTCGTCTTGTTTCGTGTCAGAATTGAACAGCCTCAGAATGACTTTGTCACACACTTCCTCAGTCTCTCTTTCGTTGTCGCTCTCATTGTCACTTTCATCTCGAGGCAAAATCATAAAACTTGTAAAAATCCATAAATTAGCCGCGTCATTGTTTAAGCCGCAGTGTTCAAAGCGTGTGGAAAGAAGAAGCTGCTTATAGTCCAGAATGTACGCTCGTTTGACATTATCTGAAAAACAATTCATCTTTTTTTTCTTTTTTTCCCCCAGAGTTCCATTAGTAGATTTGTACCACAGCAGGTGCACGGTGATGATGAGCTTAGCTTAGCATAAAGACTAAATGCAAAACTATATAATTTAAACTTTTGTTTAATCTGTACAGAAGCAAGAATATGAAAATGACAAGTTGTGCTTTTACAAGGACTCACTGTACATGTTTCTACTGTAACCCAGTTACCCTTCTGGAGGAGGCACATGTCTGTTTATTACTGAGCTTTACATGTATTTGTAGGTGTGTTACTTAGCTTTTAGCCGGGCTAGCTGTTCACCCCTTCCTCCAAGCAAAGGAAAACTGGCAGCCACTTTCTATACTTTCATTTTCCTAAAGTGAGATACTCAAAGTTGTGGATGTACTTTAGCAAAGGAACTGTAAATCTCTCTCTCCCACCAGCTGACTCCACCAAGCCCAAGACCACCACCACCACCACCCGCAGCACTCTTTCCACCACTGCTGCCTCTCGCACTCGACCCGCAGCATCCAAACCGGCCACACCATCCTCCACTGCCGGCACAGAGAAGAAGCCTCTGGTGCCCCGTGCCCCACGTGCCACTTCTTCCACCACAGCTACCAACACAACTACCACCTCGAGGACCACAGCTCGCCCCAGCACAGCGCCGGGCCCTGACATCCGCAACGCCCGCTCCAAGATCGGCTCCACAGACAACATGAAGCACCAGCCGGGAGGAGGGAAGGTAGGTCCTACTTTAGCTTCATCTTTGGATACCTCTGGCATGTACTGTACCTGCAAGGCCTATGAGTTAACATGCAACACTGGCTTCTTGTGGTTTCCTGTAGTTGTTCTTCACACTTATTTCTCCTTAAGTTCTTCTATTGATGGAATAACTTCTTCACCTAATGTTAGCACACAACGCACCTTTGTCATATTCACTCTACGGTAGATACAGTCTCTGTATTTTTGCATTTTCTGTTTCATTGTCTTTGGCTTTGTTGCTTGGTTTTGTCAGTCAAACCTTTCATTATTTTTCCATCTCCTCCTCTGCATGTTCATCTATTACCATCACACTCGTTTTCCAAACTTAGAACCTTTGCGGAACCTTTGTTGAAACACTCGAAGCATGCAAGTGGAAAAAAAAGCAGAGGATGCCTGAGGAACTCTCTGGTCTTTCTCTGTTCACGGTCTTTGATAGGTTATTGGACTTATTTGTAACTTTGTTCTTACGTTTGTGGTGTTGGCTATTGTTTATGAATTGTAATAACATTGAAGACACCAAAATAGCTGCCGGGACGTGGGATTGAAGTGACATTGCTATAAAGAAGTCCATCATTAAGTTGACAAATAGGTAACAGTTTATTTATATAAAAGTAAACAGGATTTATCCTTTAATAAACGGACAGTTTGGGTCCCTTTCCCTCTCGGATGAGTTTGACTAACCTGGTGATGTAGGATCGCTTCACTGCTTCGCTCCAGAACAAAGATGTGCCTTTGCTCGTCCAACAGAGACCATTCCATGAGCCTTATGCTGGCATACCACTACCTGACTTTAGGATCTCCGCTTATTAGTTTGTATGATTAAACAGATCTTTATTTAGAACACAAAACAAACCACTTAAGGCCTCTTTACACAAGCCAAACAATTAGACTTAATTGCCACTTGTTTACGTTATAATTTGGCTGACATTTTCTCCATGTTAGTACATTTCTGCTTGGAAGGGAGTTAAATGGATTGTAGTGACGTAACTGTCATTTTCCGTCAAAACAAAGGCTGTGGAGGCAGGTGCTGGAAGCATTGAGTTGAACATTTGTCACATCAGTCAAAGAAATTATTTCTTGTAAGAGTAGTTCTTGCTGAGTATTTAAAACACTGGAAAAAGTCAGATGTTGGCATGGATGAAAAAAAAAAAACTAGAACCAAGTGAAATGTACAAAACAGGAGTGATTGATGTTAGAATGCACTGCTTTGGCTCTGATGCAGCTGCTGTCTCTCTACTGAAGGATAAATAAATGAAAAAAATCCATTTTCATTACACATATGAAAAACATAAACAGACAAAGGAATGTCAACATAGTTTGTGTTGGAGTTTATGTTATTCCAGAGTTTGACACTCAGATTTTCATTTTTACTGTAAATGTATTTTGGTTTCAGATGTCAGTTATCGAGCTCCCTGATTGCTAATAAAGATAGATCAATCCCTACTACAGATTTAGTTAATACTCAAGCACCCGCCTTAGTTAAGATGGTACTAAAGTGTTGTAAATTAATCAAATCAAATCAGGTTTTATTTGTTCTCATTTTGCTGTACATACACAGTAGTACAGGCAAGTAGACAGAGCGTTTCTTCAGGATCAGTCAATCAGCAGATTTTGCAGAATGAACGTCTGGGATAGTCAAGACACTAAACGTTCACTCTCGCTCCTAAAGGGGGCGCGTCATCCATACGCGACGCCATTCGTTGAACTTGGCGAACCTCCTCAGGTCCTGGTAGGTCTTCAGGGACACAAAGACACACACGATGGTGTGACGATGATGAAGCTGCAGATGCTGCCCAGAGCTGTCTATCTGTCTGCATCCCCTCCAGCTGTATGTCCGTCTGGGATGTTGTCATGGAGCCATGTTTCTGTTAAAGCAGACACACAGCAGTCCCTCCACTCTCGGCGGGTTTCTCTCAGCAAACGTAGCTCGTCCAGCTTGTTGTGGAGGGAGCAGACATTGGAGAGTAGGAGGACGGTCCTGCTGGTCTGGAGGGGTTAGCCTTTAGCCTAGCATGGATCTTGGCTCTCTTCCTCCTCCTTTGTTTACATTTGTACCGTTTGCGCTTCATTCTCTTTCGGGTAACTGCCGGCGTAGTCTCCGATCGGACTCCATGTTGGTGTAGTATGTCCACATCACAACCGATCGCCACAATTCCAGCGCCGTTCACTGTCCTGACGCCCAGCAAAGTCTCCCAGCAGCAAGTTTTGAGGAATAAACTTAAAAAGACACTCAAAATGTTCACTTTCGTTGTCTCCTGAAGTGGCCGCTGCGTCTATGCGCCCTGCCATCACCATTATATATATAATTATCCAACAAATTTGCAGGGATTCAAATGACCAATCACCTGACTATCCTTCACCTCAGCCTTCTGGGAAGAGTTCCCCACAGTGCTCAGGTAGTCATCAAGCCTCGCCTGTTGGACTTCTTTTTAGTGATGTCACTGCATTTTCCAGACCCATTCTTCTCTATCATACTTACCCTCTCAATACAAAGTTCTGTTTGCACTTTGGCCTCCTGCACGCCTCCTCCTCCTCCTCCTCCTCCTGTGTGTGTTGTTCCGAGGTGTTGTCGTTGACCTGGGTGGGCTTGTCTCCCCAGGTGTCATCTGCCTCTCAGAACAGGGGCGTCGCCTCCAAAGAAACCAGCCAGGGCAAAGTGAGTTCCCTCCCCTCCATCACCACATCTCCCTTTTTCCTTGTCTGTTGAATTATTTTGCTCTTTTCTTTTTATTGCCTCTCATATTTTTTGTTTGTTTTCATTAAATTGAATTACAAAGCCAGGCTACCAAACTACCTGCCACAGGTTTTAACATAGTGAAGCAGCCACAGTATCTTATACGGTCACACTGTCACACAAAAACACAAGTTTCAAACATGCTTGGTCACTCTTTTTCTACTGTCACTCCCATTATCTACATGGATTCAGACAAAATTTTATCTGCAAGTTAGGTTGTTTTTACACAAACTGCTGTTCTCATTGTTAAATAAAATGCATTAAACACTGAAAGTAATTGACTTTGACTTGAGACCACAGAGGCTCTTCTGTGCTGTTCTGTGATTCAGTCTTGGGTGTTGGAGTCACCTTCAGCTGAGAATCAGTGAAAACTGACTCTGTAATGCTACTTAATGTCATCATTACCCTACCACCCAGCCTGGTTCTGTGTCATTTAGCAGATCAGGACAGCGACTGTTCTGGTAATTTGGTAACACCAAGTGGGTCAGTTTGAAGAAACCTATATCTTTACCACTGTTCTTCCAGGATACAGAGATTCTCTGTACAAATGTATATAATAATAATAATAATAATAATAAACAACTATTTATAGAGCACTTTTCAAAGCAAATGTTACAAAGTGCTTTTCAGTAAAATAAATTAAAATTAAAATACAATAAGCATACAGAACAATTGATAAAAGTAGAAAGCGCACACAAAAAGCAAGACGCTAAAAAACATAAAACTTAATACAATCAGGAAAAGCTCTCCGATAAAAATGTGTTTCAAGAAGTGTCTTAAAAGAGAGCACAGACTTGTAAGACTTTATATTTCAAAGTTGTTGTCACCCAGAGACCATTCTGGTAAAAAGTAATAA